AATAGTGGCAGTACTGCTAGTAGTAGTCGTAGTCGTAGTAGTAGTAGTAGTAGTAGTAGTAGTAGTAGTAGTAGTAGTAGTAGTAGTGGTGGTCGTAGCAGTGGTGGTGGCGGTGTAGTGTTAATAGTTGTCGTAGTCGTAGTCGTAGTCGTAGTCGTAGGCGTAGTCGTAGTAGTAGTAGTAGTCGTAGTCGTAGTAGTAGTAGTAGTAGTAGTAGTAGTAGTAGTAGTAGTAGTAGTAGATAGTATGTAGTAGGTAGTAGGTCGTATGTAGTAGGTAGTAGTAGTAGTAGTAGTAGTAGTAGTAGTAGTAGTAGTCGTAGTCGTAGGTCGTATAGTCGTAGTGTGGTAGTAGTAGTAGTAGTAGTGTAGTAGTTAGTCGTCGTAGTAGTAGTAGTAGTAGTAGTGGTAGTAGTGTTACGTGGTAGTAGTAGTAGTAGTAGTAGCAGTAGTAGTGTAGTAGGAGTAGTGGTAGTTAGTAGTGGTGATTGTTAATTGTTATGATTATTATTATTTCTCCGTCTCCAGTAGTAGTAGTAGTAGTAGTAGTAGTAGTAGTAGTAGTAGTAGTAGTAGTAGTAGTAGCAGCAGTAGAGTAGTAGTAGTAGTAGTAGTAGTAGTAGTAGTAGTAGTAGTAGTAGTAGTAGTAGTAGTAGTCGTAGTAGTAGTAGTAACAGTAGTATTAGTAGTAGTAGTCGTAGTATTAGTATTAGTATTATAGTTATTAGTATTAGTAGTAATAGTAGTAGTAGTCGTAGTAGTAGTAGTAGTAGTAGTAGTAGTCGTAGTAGTCGTAGTAGTAGTAGTAGTAGTAGTAGTAGTCGTCGTAGTAGTAGTAGTAGTAGTAGTAGTAGCAGTCGTAGTAGTAGTAGTAGTAGTAGTAGTAGTAGTAGTAGTAGTAGTAGCAGCAGTAATAGTAGTAGTAGTAGTAGTAGTAGTAGTAGTAGTAGTAGTAGTAGTAGTAGTAGTAGAGGATGAGGAGGAGAAGGAGGAGCATGAGTGCGAGGAGGAGGAGCTGTGAGGCAAGGGGGGCGCGCGGCCGCCTCATGGATTATAGGACTATGGGGTCTTCGCGGACAGGACTTGCGGATGATGATGTTGATGATGATGAGGAGGAGGATCAGGCAAAGTAGAATGTACGACGAATATGCGGACTAGGAATTTGGCAGAACACGTTGCCCCTCAACTGTGTGTAAATCTTAACGTTGCAGGAGGATGAGGAGGAGGCGGAGGATAGGTGGAGGAGGAGGAGGAGAAGGAAGACGGGGAAGAGGAGTAGGGGAAGGATGATGATGAGGAGGAGGAGGAGGAGGAGGAGGAGGAGGAGGAGGGGGAGAAGGAAGGGGAAAAGGATGAGGAAAAACGGCGACGACGCCGAAGACAGGACTCAACCATGGGGGCCTCTTGGAGGCCTGTTGGAGCCATGTATGGTTTTTCCTTCGGGGCCATTTTGAGAGCTTTTTGACGCCCTCTCGGATCCCCCTTCGGGCCCTCTTGACTCTTGGGGACCTTCGGGGTCCTCTTCGGGCCATCTCGCATGACGTCCATCACCCATCACCCAAGGGTGGGCTTCTTAACTAGCCTCCCCACCCCCCCTTCGGAGCCCGCCAATCGCTCCCCGAAGGCCCTTGTGGGCACGCTGTGGACGCTGTTGGATCCTCTTGGGGCCATCTTAGACTTCGTGTGGGCCCTCAGCTCTCTTGGTCGGTCTTGAAGCCGTCGTGAGGCCCGAGGAGCCCACGGGAAGCGCAGAGGCAATTTGACAAATCGCATGGAGCAACCTCTCTGGTTGGAAGGGTTTTGGCATTTCGAGGATGCAGTCGGGGCGCTGAAGAAGGAACCCTTTTCGCTGGGGAGGGGCTCGGTGTTCCTCGATTGTTTTAAAGTTTGCCTCGGGTTTTCTTGGGTTTTCCATGGGAAATTGAGGTTGAACTTGTGGGAAAAAGGGGCCTCGTTCCTTATTAGGGTTCCTTAGGCCAGCGCCCCGACGGTATCCTCTTGAGGTTCCGCGGCCACCCGCCCAGACGCAGGGGACGGGGTTGGGGGAGGGGTGAAGGTTCCAACGGGCATGCCACAAGCTGTCTCGCACGATGAGGAGGAGGAGGAGGAGGAGGAGGAGAAGGAGGAGGAGGACGAGGAGGAGGAGGAGGAGGACGAGGAGGAGGAGGAGGAGGAGGAGGAGGAGGAGGAGGAGGAGAAGGACGAGGACGAGGAGGAGGGAGGAGGAGGAGGAGGAGGAGGAGGAGGAGGAGGAGGAGGAGGAGGAGGAGGGGCCCAAGCGAACTTACCCAGTGGAACGCACAATGACACAAACATACAATCTCGGAAGTCCGCGCGGGCTTCTCGGAGGTCCGGCGCCGCACCTGGCGCGCTCTGCGCGCCAGGGAGGGGGGTCCAGCGCCGATCCGAGAAATCCGTGCGGACCTCCGAGTATTGTAGAGGCCTCCGGCAGGTGCCGCCGATCCGGGAAGATCCCGCTGTCAGAAGGACGCTTTCGCCCCAGCGCGGGGTGATCTTTTCCCTTCTCCGCGCTGCGCTTCTGTTTCGTAGGCAGTCAACAAATCTGGGTCCGAGTCTTTCCGCATCCTTATCGAGGCCTCTTGGGGGGGCGTCTTGGAGATGATTGTTGAACCTCTTGGGGGCCTTTTGGGCTTCTTGGGGGGCATGCGGGAGGCACCCTGGAGGCCTCCTGGGGGTGTGTAGGAGGTAATTTTTAAGCCTTCGGGGGCGCTTTTGGGCGACTTGTGGGGGCCTCTTGAGGGCTACTTGGAGCCTCTCGGGGTTTCTGGGGGACTCCCAGGGCAATTTCGGTGCCTCCCTGGCGCATCTTGGGCCGTCTTGGGCCCTTCTGGGGCCGTCATGGAGCTCTTGCGCGCTTCTTGGGCCCGTCTTGGGGCTGCTTTGGCTGTCTTGGGGGCCTCCCGGGCCGTCTTGGGCCCTTCTTGGGCCGACTTGGGCCCTATTGAGATCCTCTGGGCCTGTTTGGGGGTCTCTTGGGCCGTGTTGGACACTGCGAAGGCCGAAGAAGCGAAAGTGCAAAACATATACGGTTTCCTAAGGGAATAAGACAGAATTTTCGTCTTTGGGCACTCTTGCGAGGTGTCGGGAGGGCACGTTGGAGGCTTCTGGAGCCGTCTGAGGAACATATTGGGTGTCTTGGAGCGATGTTTCGGCCACTCGGGGCCCTCTTGGGCCGTCTGGGCGGCCGCTGGGTTTTTTGTGAGCCCGCGTTCGAGCTCTCTGGGGCGAGGGGCCGGCCCGGAGTGAGCTGGATCTCCGAATTTGCCACCAAAGTTGACTCGGACCCCCCCCCCTCCCTACCCCAGCAGAGCCACCCAGGCACCCACCCCCCAGCAGAGCTGAAGCTCAAGAACTGAGGCTCAGGCTATATCTGAGGGTCTTTGAAACTCACACGCCAGATCGGCGGATTTATCGTTCCCCTGCGCCTGGTGCGCCAGGTGCGCCACGTGCGCCAAGCGTGCCTTGTGCGCCAGCCGCGCCGGGCACGCCATGTGCGCGACGCACGCAAGGTTCGCCAGGCGGCGGCAGGTGCTCCAGTGCGCGTGACAGCACACACTGGGCAGTGCCACCACTTATCATCCCTGTCGAAATCGATGCAACATGGCGGCGGAATTTGATGTATGTTGTCATGTACTTTTAATACGGCTGGAGGGCCAGCGCTCGTCGGAGAAATATGATCCTCCCCGCCATCCTCGTCAACAGGCAATGCAAAGTGGTCGTGGATCGCTCGCTCGTGCTCCTGATTTTGCTGCCGCGTGCATGCTGTATGGCCTTTTGGCAGGGATGGGGGCGCCTGGTCGAGTGGGGGAGGGGGCGTCTGGCAATCAGACGCACGGATCACCCCTCCCTGGAGGTGATTAGAGGGCGGTAGAAGAGATTCGGGGGCGGCCAAGAGGGGTGTGGTGATTATGGGGGGTGGGTATCATGGCCCCCCCGTCTTGGAGGGGGAGGGGGCCAGTTAGGATTAAGTCGGGCCTGTCCCTCTACAGGGGTGTGGTGATTATGGGGGGTGGGTATCATGGCCCAGGCCATGATTCCTTTCTAGAGTTCATGGCGCCTCTTCTGACTTCGATAGGTCCCCTGGCCGCCCCCCCTGGGCCGCGAACGTGCCTCGGGCCGCGATCTGCGACCCCCCCCTCTTGGAAGCCCCCTATTGGACGCCCCAAAAAGGAGGAGGAGGAGGAGGAGGAGGAGGAGGAGGAGGAGGAGGAGGAGGAGGAGGAGGGAGGAGGAGGAGGAGGAGGAGGGACCCGGCCAGGGACTGGTGACGTCGACAGCCTCGCCAAGGTACCTCGGTAGGCCAATCAACGCCCACGCAAACGGGTCCCTGGACACCTCCCGAGACCGGACTTCTGGTGGCCCGCGGGCCGCGCGGGCGCTCGCTGCCCCTACCTGGGCCGCGGCGGGCGCGCCCGCTCGTCCGCCTGCCGACGCTGATTGCGCGTCGTGCCTTCCCCCGCTTGAGAGCGTTCTGATCACCTGGCGAAAACGGGCGTGGCCAGGGGGGGGGAGGCGGGGGCAGGAGGGGGCCAGTCACGTCACGATTCGCGCCGGCGCCGTATGGGAGTTCTTACGAATGGCTAGTTCCCGGACGGCGCGAATCGTGACGTGGCCAGGGGGGGCGGCGGGGCCGGTCACGGGCGTTATCGCGAGTGTTAGAAGCCAGGCTCAGGGCGCTGCCCACCACAGAGCGGCCGGCGGATTGTCGGCCGCGCTCGCACCGCATCGCATCGAACCAGAACTTCGTCGGAGCCAGACATAGAAGATGACTTGCTCCCCCACCGCAGCGGTGAATCACCGACTGGTCGGTAAGTGACGGTAAGTTCGGGTCGATCGGGCTCGAGCCCAGGGTAATTGGCGAGAAACGGCGAGCAAGCACACGAGCCAGAAGGAAGGGCAAGCAGCAAGCAGGGAACACATGACCTCCGCCTGGGCCGAGCCCCCTGCGCAGAGCAGAGCGCAGGCGGCTCCCTTGCCGAGCCCCCCCCCCCGTGCGGCGCGCCCCGCGAGCGGCATCTGCCAGGCCACCGCGGCCCTCCGAGCGGCAGCGGCGGTGGCGAGCGCGGCCGCCTCCTGCGCCGCCGCGTGGCGCCGGGCGGCTCCGAGGCCAGGCCCTCTGCGTGTGCGGCCGGCGCCCTCCCAGCCCGAGGCCGCCGAGGGCGCCGTGCCACCGCTGCCTCCGCCAGCCCTGCCGGCGGATCGGGCGGACGGCCAGCCGCGGCGGGCCGCGCCGGGGGCCGACCTCACAGCATCGGATGCGCCGGCGGCTCGGACGGCGCCGGGTCGCCGGCGCGGATCGGCAGCCCCAAAAGGAGGTGATGGTTGTTTTCATATTCTGGGGGGTAGCGCGTGTTACCCTCCTAGACCCCCTTCTGGGTAACGGTAGCGCTTGCAAGCTGTGCACAAGCGTGAATCTCTGCAGTTTCCAAAGGACATTGTAAGGAGTACACAGGCCGTCTAGCGTACGCAGGCATCGACGCGCACGCAGGACCAGTGCCGGTGTACATTGGCGCTGTGGTGCACGCAGGCACTGGCGTATGCGTACGCTGCGGTGCACATAGCTACTGGTAGTGTGCACAGGCGCTGCGGTGTTCACAGGCGTTGTGATGCACGGAAACACTATGGTGTACATAGGCGCTGTGGTGCACGCGGCTGCTGTGGTGTACACAGGCGTTGTGGTGTACGCAAGCGTTGCGGTGCAGCAGGATGATATCAGAGGAGGAGTGGCAGGACGATGAGGAGGAAGCGGAGAGGGAACAAGAGGTGGGAAGGGGGAGGGAGCCATAGTTCATCATGGTAAAGCGTTCCTCGCGCCTTGGTCGCGCAATTGGTTCGTAGCAGGCCCCCGGAGCACTGTGGCGCTCACAAGCGCAACGTGGTGCTCGCAAGCTACTAATGCGCCCGCTGGCACGTTTGGCGTTGGGGTGTATCCGCAGGCGTTGAGGTGCACGGAGGCTTTGCGGTGTGCACAGGCACTGGTACACATGGTTGCTGTGGTGTACACAGGCGCTGTGGTGTACACAAGCACGCTGGTGCACGCAGGCACCGTGGTGTACACAGGCGCTGTTGCGCACGCGGCTTCTGCAGTGTACACAGGCAATGCGGTGTACACAGGCGATGTGGTGCTGTGGTGCGCGCGGCTGCTGTGGTGTACGGAGGCACTGTGGTGGACGCAGGCGGCGCTGTGTTGCACGCAGGCGTTGGGCATTGTCGTATACACATGGACTGGTACGGAGGCGTTGGGCATTGTCGTGTGCACAGGGACTGGTGCACGCAGGCGCTCGATGTGCTGGTGGCTCGGGCTCACCCTGGCGGGTGCACGCCGCGGCCGCCATTACCGTTACCCCCCCGCCGCCCCTGGGTAACACGCGTCACCTCCAATGAGTTCAACACAAACGATCAGACGCCGCGGGGGCGCCCCTCCTCCCTCCCAGGAAACAGCGAGTCCCCGCCCACCAAACCACCCCAACCCAACCCGAAGGCCCGAATTTGCCCTCCATTTCCAGTGTGGGGGGGTCGGGGAACATGGAACAAAAACACATCTGAAGCCCGTACCCCCCCAACCCGAAATTCGGGTCTTCGGGTTGGGTTGGGGTGGTCTGGCAGGTAGTCAGCGAGGGAACGGGGTGGGAAGAGGGGCTCTCTTCCCATCCTGTTTCCTGGCCGTCCGCCCCCCGAGGGCAAGAGGTGTAAGCCTCTTTGCTGGAGGTGGTCTCGCCGCGTCCCAGGCTCCGGCGCGCTGTGAGCAGTGTCTCGCCGATGTCCTGCTTGCGCGCTTCGGTCGTGATTGACCCCTCGGTACCGTCATCGTTTTTTTTCTTCTTTTTTTTTTTTTTGTTTTTTTTTTTTTTTTCTCTCTCTCTCTCTCTCTATTCATATTTTTTATGTATGGCAGCACCACCCTTGGTACCCCACCCTTCATTTTTATTCTGCATGTTGCTGTTATGTTCTAGATTGTTTTCATAGTTCCATATCCTTCCTATCCCTGGCGCAACCGTATTCCCAATTGCGGCGGATTGCAACATAATTCCATTTGTGGCGGATCACACATTGATTCCTTTTGTGGCGGTTTACATCTTGATTCCTTCGGCCCGCTGCGTATTACAAGTTGATCTCTTTCGTGGCTGCTTGCGAATTGATGTTCTTTTTGACGCCTCCACCTCCCCCACCCCAGCGAGACGCCCCAGCTTGGCGTGAGAGGCCAGCAAAACCAACAAAAGCATGGAATTCAACCGAACCACAAGGAAATACATGAGAAGATCAGAGCCTCCAGGCCAACAAGAAATCAAGGCCCCGATTGGTCTCTGGAGCGGAAATATTGAAACACCTTAGGTCTTCTTTGGCAGCGCGTCGTCATGACCGCGGAAAGTGTGCAGGTTTGGGCTGGGTTTCGCGAGGAGACGCTGAACGTGCGGAGGGCGCAGCTGGCGTTTCGGGCCTCCCCCGGAGCACCCTCGCCGATGGAGCCTGGGCTCGCTCGGCAAGAATGGGCGCCCGAAGGGTCCGAAGGGCGACGGCAAGAACAGAGACTGCGCGATCTGCCACTGGAAATGGCACACCGCCAAGGAATGCTTGCGCAAGCAGACCGGTAACTCGAAGGGCCACGAAGGCAAGAACGGTCAAGGCAAGGGGCTCGATCAAAAGCAGGGGTGGTCCCAAAGGTGGGGTTGCCGCAGGCAGCGGTCCGACGTGCTGGAGATATGGCGAATCAGGTCGCAGACGCGCGGAGTGCCCCAAGGCCCAGGGCAGGAATGCGAACACCTGGCGAGCTAATCTGCTGGAGAGCCAGGGTCTGGGCAGCCACTGCGTGGTCTGTTCCTGGCAGCGCTCTCGCAGGAGGACGCGGCCAAGGAGATTCTTAACGCTCGCGTATCCCCACCAGCTGAGTTCTACCTCCTGGTCCCCGACGGCTTCGGCGTTTTCGACCTGTCCTTCATCGGCTTTCTCGCCCCCTGAGCCGCAGCGTAGTTCGCTCCTGCGTGCTTAGTGCCTAATTTTGAGCTTGGCGCGGCTGCCTCGTTTCCCGACGGCACGCGGTTGGACCGCGACGCTCGCGAACGAAAAAAAATATCCCCACCTGCCCATCCAGAAACGATCAGCAGGGGAGTTGGTGAATCCGGGGCGGCAGGACGCATGCAGTTGCGCAGCCGTCTTCGGGAAAACAAGGATCACATTATAGCTTCCCGCGTTGAAACTTAAGATGGACATCGGTGCAAACTACGATGGTGTCTCGATGAGGAGTGGGGGGTGTTTCGATGACTCGTAATGGCTGTTGCACTGGTTTGTATCTTAAACTCGCGTGCGCTTCGAAACTTGGAGCCATCTTGTGGCTCTCTCGGGGTGCTCTTGGGGCCCTCCTGGAGCTCTTTCTTGGAGCTCTCTTGAGGTCCTCAGGGCCTTCTTGGAACCCTCTTGGGGCTCTTTTGGGGCGTCTTGGGGCCCTCTTGGGGCTCTTTTGGAGGGTCTGGGAGCTTTTTCGGGGCTCCTTTGGGAGGCCGGAGGGGCCTCTTGGGGCCGTCTTGGACACTTTCGCAAACAAAAAAACAGGAGGGGCCTTCATTCGGACCTCCCCATCGGAGGCTCAAGAGTGCCGTCCTGGGGCCCTCTTGGCCCGCTTTTGGAGCGCTCTTGGGCGTTCTTGGGGCCGTCTTGGTGCCCTTTGGGCCCGTCTTGGGGCTATCTTTGACCATCTTGGGGCCATCTTGAGGCCTCAAGAGCCCATCGAAGGCGAAAAAGCGAGAAGGCAAACACACAAAGGTTCCCCTTAGGGTTTTGAAGGACTTTGCCTCTGGGGGGGGTCTTCGGAGGCTTCGGACAGCACTTGAAACCGTCTTGGGGCCGAGGGTATCTTGACCCATCTACCGCTATCTTGGGCCATCTTGGAGGCCATCTTGTGCTCTCTGAGGCCCTCTTGGGGACATCTTGGGCCATCTTGGACGCTGCTATGGGTCGGGCCCCCCCCCGTCCAAACGCATGGAGGGGGGGGTAAATCTCCCAAGCAGGGAAAAGAAGGAGGTTGGGCAAGGAAGCGCCCAAGACCACCTGCGCCCAGTGGGCTGGTGGGGTGATGAAGATGGTCCGGTTTTCCACCGAGCATCGTGGCGACATTGAGGTCGTAGCTCGAGTTCGAGGCTTGGCGTCGGTTGAGGCAAGTACTGGCGTGATGTTCGGTGGTGATAGCGAAGAAGTTTCGTCGGTCATCCCGACCAGTGCCAGGACTGCGTGGTAGAGGAAAAAAGATGAGCAGCAAGGGCGAATGCTACAGGTCGGCGGACAGCGGGTGGGTGCCACACCAGGGTGCGCGCACGTTCATGGTCAAGGGTCGAGTACGGGCGGGTTTCAGGTCCCGAAGGGCATGGCGTGCCATGTTGCGCCGGCGTCGAAGCAGCGGACCGGGGGGGTCCTATTGCCCAGGTTTTAGCGCGGGTGAGTGGTGCGAGGTCACGAGGGTGAACGGTGTCGTCGAGTTAACGGTAGAGAGGTGCCACTTGCTTCGGGGAGCGCGTCGGCGTCTGACCGCCAGAGCGCCCCATCGATTTGGGCGTGGAGGTCGAGGGGGGCGAGGCCCGCCGGGGCGGCGGAGAGCTCGACGCGGTGGAGTCGGAGCTCGCTGCGCGAGATGCTACAAAGCAAGCTGCCCGAGCAGGCGGTGCAGTTGCTGGAGGGGCTGAAGTGCCCCGCCCATCAAGGCCAAGGGGGGGGCTGGGGGCCAGACCGAGAGGGGCGTTGCGGAGGGCGCCGAGCGAGCCGACGGGGCAGGAGGGGTGCGAGGTCCTATGCAGGGGGGCGATCGCCGATGACGGGGCAGGTGCCTCTGGCTGGCGCAATTATCGTGGCGGACGCGGTGGTGCCAGATGCGCGTTCACCACAGCTGCCGCAACGGAGATGGGAAGAGACGCAGCCGAGTGGGATCTGCGTCCGCTGGGAGGTCGAGCCGCAGAGGTGCGGCTTTGCCGAGGGCTGCCGGGGCTGCCTGGGCGCGGTGCGCGACGGCCGCGGTGCTCGCGGTCGCCGGCGGCGCGAGGGTCGCCGAGGCCTTGAAGGGCGAGGCGCTGATGGTTGGGGTCCGGAGGCATCGAGGGGGGGGGTGGAAGCCGCGGGAGATCTTGGATGAGATCTCGAAGAAACATGTTCGGGGAGGCGAACTTTCGAGGGCCGCGGCCTCCCATGGGCGAGGTCAGGCCAGCTGAAGCGGCCGACGGCGGAAGCTCGTCGTCGGCCCCCGGTGCTCAGAAACTTGGAGGCGGACGTAATCCAGCAGGGGGCATCCAGATGGAGTCGTCCACGGTGACGGCCAAGGAGGCGCTGCTGGACCAGCTCGGGGGCCTCGGGGGCAAGCTGAAGGACGCCGAGGGCGACGTCGCCGAGGTGTTCAACCCGGGCGAGTTCATGCCAGTCTTCGACCTGAGGCCAAGGGTCGCGATGGATCTGAGGGCGGGCAGCCAGGGCAGCGGGCCGCGTGGGGGGCCCGCGAGGGGCGCGTGGTGCTCGGAGAGCCAGCGCGCGCAGTGCGCTTGACGGCCCGCGGCCTGTCCAGCCAGCTGGTGGCGCTGAGCGAGGACGAGGGTCGACGGAAGTACTAGGGCGCGCTGCCCGAGGCCAGGGTGTTCGCGGACTTCACGACGGCGCCGTACGCGCCGCGGTCCATGGCGGGGCGCAGCGTGTTTCATGGGAATCCCTCGGGCGCCCTGTCATGGAGGCGAGTTCGAGCGCTCGTGGAGCCAGTGATGGAGATCCTGAACGGGATCAGTGACGAGCTCTGCGTCGGCCAGCGCCTCAACGAGCCCTCGATCGGCGCGGCGGCTGTGAGGGGCCGGCGACGCTGGGCAGCGTCGCGGAGGCCGAGGCCGCGGAGTATATTGCGATGGCGTCGCGGGCGCGAAGTTCGACGCGGGGGCCGCGAGAAAGGGGCGCCGAGAAGAGATGGACTGCGTGGAGATGCTGGGCGTCTGCGAGCGGGCTCCTGTCTCGAAGTTGCCGCTGGGCGGCTGGGTGGTTGTGGGCCTGAGCGACTTGGGCTGGCCTGAGATCAAGCGAAGGCTGTTTGCCAATGAAACGAAGAGGCTATCCAAGCTCGGCCTGGGCGACGCCGCGGCCGCGTCTGCGGCGACCCCTCCGCTAGAGGTCTCGGGCTGCTGCTCAGCCTGGCGACGAGCAGTCGATCGCGCGGGGTGCTGGTGTCCATGGGCGTCGGCCAGGCGCGCCTGCGCTCGGCTGAGACGGGAGGTGCTCTCGGGCGCGCCGCGGGGGGATTCGAAGTGCGAGCCTGGGTGGCGCTGGCGACCCAGGAAGGCGATGTGCGGAACCGCGGATGCCAGGGCCGCATTCGACATGGCGGCGGAGCGGATCATGAGGGACCTCGGAGCGCGATGCGAGGGGAGCTCGGCACTTGCGTCGACCGGGAGGGCTCGCTCTATGCGCGGCGGCACGGCGGCGATTTCGTCGCGCTGGGAGACCGCAGGGGGCCTGCGGAGTTCGCGGGGCGGCTGGGCGAGAAGCTGTCCGTGAAGGCACGGGGCGCACTAGGGCCTGGCCCGTGGAGACGGGGCCCCAGCGAGATAGCGGTGCCCAACCTGATCGCCGGGTGGCGCAGCAGCGACGGGGCAAATCAATAACGCGTCGAGCGCGAGGCTGGCCCCGGATTAGTGGGGTTCTTTCCGCGCCAGCCCGGTCTTCGAGGTGAGGGAGCAAAGCCGGCTTCCAACCGGGGAATCAGGAGGCGCGACCGCGGTGGGTCGAATCTTGGCGGAGACGAGAGGGCAGCCCAACGAATGAGTCCCATGGGGGTCGCCAATCTCGTCCGATGCCGACCAGGCATCCAGTGTGCGAGTAAGGGGGCCGCCCGATTGAAACAGAACCCCACTCGTGGAGGATGGGTGGCGCTCGAGCGACTAGGGCGCTATCTGGCAGGAGTTCCCATGCTGGTGGCGACGCGCGCGAAGCAGCCGCGCGGTCTTCGCCGCGGGTCTGGGCGGACAGTGACTTGGCCTGGCGCGCGTCCACCGGCAAAGCTACATCGGGTGTCGCGTTGACCTGTGGGAGCCATTGGATATGATCGTCGGGTGCGACGCGGCAGTTCCAGGGGCTGTGCACGGGTGAAAGCGAGTTCCACGCGTTCATGTAGGGAGGTTCGATGAGTTTGGGCATCGAGACTCTCCTAGCCGACAACGGCGTCAAGGTCGTGCAGGCGGCGTTGTTTTGCGACGCAGGCGCCATGAAAGGCGTGGGTCGGACGAGTTCACTTACATGCCCATCTGGTGGCCCCAGAGAGCAGAGTGTGTTCGCAAAGCCGACGGCAAAAATTGCGCTGCGGACGTGGGCGCGAAGCGTGCCGAGGCCGCCCTGATCGCGAGGTTCTCGGTGGCCCTGCAGTTCGAGAGTCGCACATGTCGGAGCCGTCTGGCGTTGCGAGCCGCGCTGGGAGGAGGGGCGTGCCGTGAGGTGGGTCGTCACGCTCAGCAGAAGATGGAGTTCAGGGCAAGGCCCGGTGCATCCGCGAGGCTCGCGGCCGACCCTGATGGGCCGGAGCGGCCGAGGGGCTGCTATGTGTGTTGATGGTGCGTTGGGCCAGGTATGCAGGTCCCAGCCATGTTGGCTGCTTGAACATGCAGCCCCGCTGACGCTTTGGCTCGAGGTGCCGATTTGGGCCGTGGCGAGAAAATGCGCATTCAGTTTCAAGCATTGGTTTCTTTTTTAGTTTTTTGTAATCCGAGTGTTTTCTGTGTTTCGAGAGGGCGCTCCTGCTGCACCGTAGGCTTCGTTTTCGGATCGGCGCTTTGTTCCCGTCGTTCACAATGGCGCTCTCGCCCCAGCGCGGTCCACTTTTCTGGACCCGAGTCCTTTCATCCTAGTCGCTCCTCTTTTCCCGCCCTCGCCTTCCCTTGGTCCTCTTGCTCCTCTCATTCTTTCCGCCCCAGCTCCTGCTGCTGCTGTCTGTCCTCGTCTTCCTTCATCCTGCTTTTCCCTGTCCTCATTCTCGTTCTCCTGCTCACCCGCCATTTCTTACGTACGCAGTTTCTCCTTTCCCGATTAAGCATAAATATTGTAATTTTGCTGGGGTTCCAAATCGGCCACGACACGCGTCCGAATTTTTTTTGTCATATATATATAGCTATATAGTTATATAGTTGTACAGCTATATCGTTATGTATTTATATAGTTATATAGTTATATATACATATATTCACCTAGTTATATAGTTATATAGTTATATCGTTACATAATTAGATATGTGTATATTTATGTAGCCATATAGTTATATAGTTCTATACATATATAGTTATATATAGATAGATATATAGATGTATCCGTAAAGGGCTTCGCCCCCTGCCTTCGGCCCCCTCTCTTGGATAATGGGCCATGGAAGAGCGAAATCATGAGGCTTTAGCTTCACCGTGAAGCAGCGTCGGAACTTCATGCGAAGACGATGGGTAATTGGCAAGACGAATGGAGATTGCGAGTCTATTGTTGTACTCGCTGTTGTATTTTCCACTTGCTCGCGTATGCTGTGCCCAAATCTTCTCCCCGAATTTGAAAATATTGGAAGTCTCTTGTGTCCTGACCGCGCGGAAGTGCGTGAGGGGTGCCCCAGAATGTCAAAAATGTGGCAACTCCCGTGTGTTTTGGACCCTGACCCCGCCGATCTGCGTGAGGGGTGCCACCGCATTTCAGAATTGTGGCAAATCCCCAGTGTTTTTGGTTCCTGACCCCGCCGATCTGTCTGATGGGTGCCACCGAATCTTAAAACATGTGGCGAATCCGGTGTGTTTGTGGACCCTGACCCTGTCGATCCGCGTGAGGGGTGCCACGCATGTCAGAAATGTTGAGCATCCCTTAGTTTTTTGGACCCTGACCCCGCCGATCTGCGTGAGGGGTGCGAGCAAATTCTGTTTTTGGACCCTGACCCCGCCGATCTGCATGAGGGGTGCTTTTGAATGTCAGAAATGTGGCAAATCCTATGTGTTGCTGGTTCCTGACCCCGCCGATCTGTGTGAGGGGTGCCACCATTTACCACATGTGGCGAATTCTGTATGTTTTTGGGCCCTGACCCCGCTGATCTGCATAAGGGGTGCCACCGAACGTCAGAAATGTGGCAAATCCCTTTTGTTTTTGGACCCTGACCCCGCCGATCTGCGTGAAGGGTGCCACCGAATTTGAGAAATGTGGCGAATCCTGTGTTTTTGTGACCCTGACCCCGCCGATCTGCGTGAGGGGTGCCACCGAATGTCAGAGATGTGCCAATTCTTTGTGTTTGTGGACCCTGACCCCGCCGATCTGCGCGAGGGGTTTAAATTTTTACCTACCCCAGCAATTCAGAGCACACGCTCAGGGCGTGCTAAATCTGGCCGTTTGGGCCTCCACCTCTCGCGCGGTCCATCAACAAGGAACAGCAAGCAGCAAGAAGCAGAACTGTAACAGTGGAAACCGGAAGCTGCAACAGGTACAGGAAACTGCGAACCTTCGCCCTACAGCCTGGTGGCCCCACAAGGGGGCCGGCGGATGTACACACACACATATATATATATATATATATATATATATATATATATATACACTTATAGATGCATCAACGCAAGTCGAGCATAGGCTGCGAGGGAGGGATCGGATGTCGGATATGGCGCTTGCGCACTTAGCTTGCTTTCTCTCCCTCTCTGACTTTCCGCGTCCTGTCCCTCCCCATCCTCCACGTTTTCGCCCCTCGCTCTGCGGGTGCCCATTAACCCCCGCCGCCGCCGTCCTCGTCGTCGTCGCCCTCGTCGTTGTTGTCGCCCTCGTCTTCGTCGTCGTCGTCGTCGTTTTCGTCGTCGTCGGGAGCGTCGGCACCAGAAGAAAAACAAAAATCATCACACCACTCTCCGGACCTTGCCGTCGTCGCCCACGTCGTTGTCGCCGTCGTCGTCGTCGTCGTCGTCGTTGTCGTCGTCGTCCTCGTCGTCGTCGTCGTCGTCGTCGTCGCTGGTCTGGGCGTGACGATTTATTGGCTGGGTGTCTGTCGTCGCCGCCGCACCGCCGCGCCGCGCACCGCGCGCCGCGGCCCGAGCAGCCGCACAGCCGCGCCAGTCCTCCGCGCGCCCCCGCCCTGGACAGGCCGCCCCCCCCCCGTCTCGGCTTCCCAGCGGCCGGCCAGGCGGAGTTCTCAAGGGCTCCCCGATTCTAGGGGAACAGAAAGTGGCGTAAACATAAAAACTCGGAGGTCCGCGCGGATTTCTCGGATCGGCGCTAGATCCCCCTCCCTGGCGCGCGGAGCGCGCCAGGGGCGGCGCCGGAGGCGCCGCCGGGGGGCCCAGCTCCGATCCGAGAAATCCGCGCGGACCTCCGAGTTTTTATGTTTATGTCACTTTTTGTTCGCCTAGATTCCGAGGTGGGGATTGATCCGTAAAGCCGCGGCCTGGGGAATCCGTCTTCGGGGACCTCGGTAGGCTATGGATATGGATATACGGTCGGGTCGCGTCGGGTCGACCAGCGGCGACCCTCCGCAGGTGTTCAAGGTTGAACGGTTCTCGCGGTGTCAGGAAACAGCGCCAGGGTCGATCTTACACGAACCCGCGGTATTCGCGTCTGCTGGGGCCGATCTGTTTGTGTGTATATATATATATATATATATATATACATATATATTTATATGTATACACATCCACCGTCCGCTGGGGTCCCAGGACGTCGGTTCCTTAGGTGATAAGTCTTGATACATCCCCGCCTCGCACAGCTGGGGTCCGACCCCATGTAATTGGAGCCCATCTAGGACGCCGCCGAATTCGAGGAAGGAGGCTGCGAAGGCCTCACGGCCGGTGCCGCCGACCCTGCAGGCCTCGGCCTTGCTGTCACGCACCGGGAGGGTGGCATTCTGACCCGGGACCACCCCCGGGGGCCTCCCCCGGGACCACCTCCCGGGACCCCTCCCTGCCCTCCCCTTCCCTCCCCTCCCTCCCCTCCCTCCCGTCCCTCCCCTCCCTCCCCCGTTGGAGCACCCCCGGGACCCCCCCCCTTCCCCTCCGCGGGCAGAGGATAAAAGGGAAGGGGCGGTCCTTCGACTCAATGACAGCGTTGTCTAAGTTCGCTGTGGATGGGCTGGCGTATTTTGCTTTGGCTGGCGTGCTTGAGGACGAGGGTCCCATGAAAAAAGGGGGGGAACGGCGACGGACTCAGGGGAAGGAGGGGACATGACGGCGGCGGCGCCGCGACGGCGGCAGCGACGGCAATGGCGACGGAACAGCCCCTGTTGCACGGCGATTGGGTCGGCGGATTTGTCGATGTGTGGGCGTCTGGGGGCTCACGCTTCAGGCCGATGAGGCTCGTTCAACGAGATCAGAGCGGGTGTAGGCAACTGCTCGCCGAGCATTTTCTCCGTGTCACATTGGCTTCACATCCGTCCTCAGCAGCAGTTAGCGAGTACGAATCATCAAATGAACAAATCATCAGATCATGATTTCAGCCCGAGGGCCCGCTGGAAGTTGTTCCAGGGTGGAAACCTGACCAGGACGGACCCTGGCAGGGGTCCAGGGGGCAGGTTCTGAACGGGCTATGGGGTGCGGGCGAGCATGTTCTGATGCGCTTATAGCCTCCCGGCGACCGGCCAGACGTCAGACGAGAAAAGTATTCGCCACGAAGGAACGATGCCCTGAGGGGGTCGTGCGTCCTTTCGCCGTTCTGGCCTCTGGAGCCCTTCCCGGTCCCCAGGGCCGTCAGAAACCAGGAGGGAGCAGTGTACAAAGACACAAAACAGAGGTCGATTCCCCCAGGAACACACGGGAACATATGGGACCTCGCGTGCCTCTTTGTTCGTGTCTGCCTGGCCCCCCTCTCTCGTTCAGTTTTTCGCCGTCCTTGGGCCTCTGGGCCCCTGCCCGGGCCCCCCGGGCCGTCCGACAACGGCTCGGGACGGAACGCGGGCCCCGGGGGAGGCCCCAGCGTCGAGGACCCGCCTCTGCGGAGGCCCGTCTCCGCCATGCCGAAACCTGCGGTTTCCGGCGTCCAGGCAGGGGCGACGACCGTCCCGCGGCAGGCCGGCCTGCCGACGCCATGGTTGCATCTCCGACGTTGGCATCGCGTCATTTGGGGTCTCGATGCGCGGACAGAGAACAGGTTCCAATGCCCTCCTGCCGTTTTCGCTTTTTTGGGGCCTCCTGGGACGCCCTCGTCGCCACGGCTGGATTCGGGGTCGTGGTCAGAGCGCGCCATGTGAGAGGTCCGGTGAGTGGCGGTATGTTCTTTATTTTTCTTCTAGTGCCGACGCTCCCGACGACGACGACGACGGCGGCGGCGGCGACGACGACGTGGATGAGTGAGGATGGAGTGATCGAGGTCTCGCTGCAGAGTTTTTTGTCTTGATTTCGATCGCGGGGCTTCGGGCGCTGGGGCGGTGTTGCCTCAGCTGCCTCCGCTTCCTCCTCTGCTTCTCTGATTCCCTTCTCCTTCTTTCGTCCTCCCTCCTGCCTCCGCTCCCTCCCAGGAACGGAACGCAGGGAGGGAGGAGTGGGAGGAGAGGGCGGGCTCCCTCTACGCCCTCCCCGCCCTCTTCCCCCTCCTCTTCCCATTCCTCCCTCTCGCTCTTCTCTTCCCTTCCCCCTTCTGCACCTCGCCAATGAGGAGGGAGTGGAGGGGAATGGTGGAGGAGGGAGGAGGAGGAGGAGGAGGAGGAGGAGGAGGAGGAGGAGGAGGAGGAGGAGGAGGAGGAGGAGGAGGAGGAGGAGGAGGAGGAGGAGGAGGAGGAGGAGGAGGAGGAGGAGGAGGAGGGAGGAGGAGGAGGAGGAGGAGGAGGAGGAGGAGGAGGGAGGAGGAGGAGGGAGGAGGAGGAGGAGGAGGAGGAGGAGGAGGAGCGGAGGCGGAGGGAGGCGGAGGCGGAGGCGGAGGCGGAGGCGGAGGCGGAGGCGGAGGCGGAGGCGGAGGCGGAGGCGGAGGCGGAGGCGGAGGCGGAGGCGGAGGCGGAGGCGGAGGCGGAGGCGGAGGCGGAGGCGGAGGCGGAGGCGGAGGCGGAGGCGGAGGCGGAGGCGGAGGCGGAGGCGGAGGCGGAGGCGGAGGCGGAGGCGGAGGCGGAGGCGGAGGATGAGGAGGAGGAGGAGGGGAAGGGAGGAGGAGGAGAGGACGAGGGGGGAGGACGAGGGAGGAGGACGAGAGGGTAGGAGGGAGGAGCCAGGAGTCCTCACTCGTCTCTCCCCCTCCCTCGTCCTCCCCCCTCGCTCGTGCCCCCCCGCCGCAGAGCAGCCCATAGCCGCCATGTCTGCCGCTGCTGCCTTCGACGCCATCGACAGGAACCACGACGGGGTCATTACGCGGGAAGAGTTCGGCGCCGCCCCGCCGAGCCGCGGCGCGGTCTGACCTGGGAGCGGACGTTGGGCCGTGGAGGGTCGCTCTGAGAATCGGTGCGATCGAAACTGGGGGCAGAACGGGATCCAGGGACGGGGGTCAGTGCAAACGGGGGGTCAGCCAGAGCGCCAGATCTTGCAGAATCTTGCAGGGCCAGGGCTGCACTGACCTGGGTCTGGGTGCAGAATCCTGCGCAATGCGTGACCCAGGTTTGGATTGAACCGGGTGAATGGACCTCTGGGGCAGAACGGGTTGGAGCGAAGGTCAGCAGCAGTTCCTGCCCACTTGCAGAGAGACTCGCTGCGGGAGCCGCCGCGGACGCTGCCCCTTTTGGGACGGGCGCCGCCTGCCTGGCAGCGGCCGCTGTCAGCTTTGGGCAACATTCGCCGTGGGGCATCGTCCCACCCTTTCTGCCCCAATTAGGCCACGCGCAAAGGGAGGTAGGGGGAGGGGGGAAGGCATCTTTGAAGCACCCCTGCATCTTAGAAGGCGCGGGCCTCATCTACAGATGTAAGGCCAGCGCCTTCTAAGAAGCAGCCTCCTTCTAAGAAGCCTTCCCCCCTCCCCCTACCACCTTGTGCACGCCGCCAACCAATCTCGGGCGTGCCAGAAAGAAAGGCCTGGTCTTCAGGAGTTGCAGGTCTGACCTCTCGCCCTCAGGCGGTGGCGGCTCTGCCCGAGGCCAGCCGAGGACAGAGCTGACCCCCCGAGGGAGGCAAGGGCCAATTTTGGTCAGAGTGCGCCCCGGGAGAGGTATGGGGAGTAGCGGTATCGGCACCTTCCTGTCACCGTGCAGACGGAGTGGTGACCAGACCGTTTGGTGGGTCAGTGGGGATGCGGGGTCGCCGCGCGGTTTTGGGAGTCGGGCTGTTTTCCGAGGGCCCCGGTCGCGAGGTCCCAAGACCGTGCGGTGACGGACCGCGCGGTGAGGTCTCGGGGGGTTTCCAGGTCACTGCGTGGTCCGTCACCACATGGTTTTGGGACTCCTGAGGAATGCCCCCATGACCTTTTGCATGCACATCGTCGGTAGTCAGCTTGGCTCATGGTCCCACAAGGGACGAAACGTTAGCCCGATGGTGACAACAAGCTGCGCCGACGTGTTTTGATCGTCCAGCTTGATTGTCTTAACTTGATTGGGGTTGCAGCCAATCTGCGACCGCCTGCGAACCCTAACCTCCTGCGGTTCCGGTCGACTCCTCGGTGTCGGACCCCCCCACTCTGAACCCCAGCAGGCGCTTCAGAAGCCTGGCCCGCAGGGGCAGGGTTTGCACGTAGGTTCCTAAACCAGCGCGCATGGTAAGGACGAGTGCGTGACTTTCCCAAGGGAGCCCTGGTAGCTCTCGCCTCGTCGGCTCATCCTTGGCCAGTCTCGCTGGCACGGCTCCTCGGGGTTGATGGCGGGGGTTGATGGCCGGGCCGTGCGCCGCCCTCTCCAGGCCTTGCCTTAACCTGGACGCCCATGGGGCTCTTGCATCCTCGCCGCGCATCCTCGTCGTGCGCGCTGGCCGCAGTTCCGCGGCGCCTGCGGGCGCCCTTCGTCCGCGCGTGTCCGCCTCGCCCTGGCACTGCGTGCGTGGCCGTGTGCGCGCCGGCCCCTCGCCCCCCGCAGTCGTGGCCACTGGGCCAGGTGTGCTCAGGTTTGCTTCTCGCTCTCGCTGTCGCTCTCGCTCGCGTTTTTTTGCTGTTGTTTGCGGACCGACGCCCACCCCAGGAGGCCGCCACAGCCTGGGATGCAAGGAGATCGAACGGCTCCTGCCCCGGCCACCCCCCATCTAACACACCGCCTGAGGAGGAGCGGAAGGAGTATGCAGAGGAGGAGGTGGAGGAGGAGGAGGAGGCAGATGATGATGATGATGATGATGATGATGATGATGATGATGATGATGATGGTGGTGGTGATCGTGATGATGAACATGATATTGATGATGATGATAATGATGATAACGCTGATGATGATGATGATGATGATGATGATGATAATGATGATGATGATGATGATGATGATGATGATGATGATGATGACGATAATGATGATGCTGATGATGATGATGTCACCGATTATGATGATGATGATGATGATGACGGTGATGATGGTGATGATGATCATGAAGATGACGGCGGGGATGATGATGATGATGATGATTGTGGTGATGATGATGGTGGTGATGATGATGATGATGATGATGGTGGTGGTGGTGTGGTGATGGTGATGATGAACATGACATTGATGATGACGCTGATGATGATGACGATAATGATGATGCTGCTGCTGATGATGATGATGATGATGTCACCGATTATGATGATGATGACGATGATACTGATGATGACGGCGGTGATGATGATGGTTGTGGTGATGATGGTGGTGATGATGATGATTGTGGTGATGATGATACTGATGATGGTGGTGGTGATGTTGATGGTAATGTGGTGGAGGTGGAGGTGGAAGAGGATGAGGATGAGGAGGAGACTCATGACGATGATGACGGTGAACACCCCGACAACGACATGACGATGATGAAGATGATGAAGATGATGAAGATGCTGAAGATGATGATGATGATGATGATGATGATGATGATGATGATGATGATGATGATGATGATGATGGTGATGATGATAATGATGATGATGATGCTGCTGCTGCTGCTTATGATGATGATGATGATGATGATGGTGGTGGTGGTGGTGATGATGATGATGATGGTGGTGATGGTGATGATGATGATGGTGATGATGATGATATTGATGGTGATGGTGATGCTGATGCTGATGACGCTGATGACGCTGACGATGATGATGGTGATGATGATGCTGATGTTGATGCTGCTGATGATGATGGTGATACTGACGATGATTATGATGATGCTGATGATGACGATGACGAATGTGATGATAATGATGAGGATGACGATGAGGATGGTGTTGTTGTTGATGATGATGGTGGTGATGATGATGGGTTTGGTGGTGGCGGTTGTGGTGGTGGTGATGATGATGTGGTGGTGGTGGTGATGCTGCTGCTGATGATGATGCTGATCAGGATGATGCTGCTAATGATGATGATGCTGATGATGCTGATGATGCTGATGATGATGATCATGATGATGATGATGATGATGCTGCTGTTGATGATGATGATGATGATGATGATGATCATGATGATGATGATGATGATGATGATGATGATGATGATGATGCTGATGATGATGATGATGATGATGATGATGATGATGATGATGATGATGATGATGATGATGATGATGATGATGATGATGATGATGATGATGATGATGATGATGATGATGGTGATGATGATGATGATGATGATGATGATGATGATGATGATGATGTGGATGTGGAGGTGGAGTTGGAAAGGAAGAAGAGGACGGGGAACAGGACGACGACGACGGCGAAAGTGACGACGATGCCGCCCCGACGACGTCGCCCCGATGACGACGACCATCCGCGCGGCGCAGCAGCCGTCGGCAACTTCATCCAGCAGCAACCCGTCACGGCAGCTGGGGCGGGCGCTCGCTCTCTTCCTCCCTTCTCGTTGCCTCCTTCCTCCCTCGTCCCTCCTCGTTCCTCCTTCCTTCTCCTCTCTCCTCATCCTCCTCCTCCTCCTTCCCCTTCTTCCTTCCTGCTCCTTCCGCCCCCTTCTTCCTTGTTCTCCCGCCCTCTTCTTCCCTTCTTCTCCTCCTCATACGTTATCCGTGCTTCGCCCTTACTCTTCTCCTTCCTCCTTCCTCCTTCTCTTTCTCCTCATCTCATTGGCCGTCGGCACTCGAGACGAGACAACCGATCATGAAGGAAGCGTACCGAACATACTCTCTCAATAATTCCGCCCTAGCGCTCGCACAGGCCAGGGAAGGAGCAGGGGGCGCGAACAGATGGCAGTAGGATGTTCATTCGTTGTTTCTCCCTTACAGCGACTAGGAATATTGCTTTTTGGAACCCTCTGGCCGCCAACTCGAACGAGAGACTGGAGGACATCAGTCAGGAACCGAGAGGATGGGACGTGGTCGTTCTGACAGGTGCACATAGGCTGGACCATAACCACCATAGACGACGTACCTGAGGCACCGTTTGGGATACAATCTGGAGGGATGAGATGGAAATGGATTCTCAAAGCATGTGGAGGCAAATATCTGGTGGCACGATAAATAAACACGAAAGCGCCCAGGCACATTCACATACCGCCAGGAACAAGGCAGGGAAGGGCTGCAAGAGATCGACTGGCTAGCGACGAACTGGACCATTTGCTGCCTACCTACTGTCGACCGACTACCGCCAATACGGACACAAATCACAGATACTCTTGGTAGCATGCAGATCTATGTTCATAGTCGGATGTGGCATCAACAATCAGCTAGGGCTTCACAGATTATGAGAAGAAGGTCTAGAGAGAAGAAGGTCACACGTGACCGGACCTTGGGTGAAGGAAATCTAAGACCACAGGTCTAGGAATTGCTGGAGGTTGTGCGTACAGAACGAGTTTGCGATTGCGACGATGCATTACGACTGCGGACAAATCTACTACAGCACGAAAGGAAAAGCCACAGTATCGACCACGTTGCAATCCTGGTGGCTGCATTACAGGTGGCTTGGATATGCGTTACCCTTGCTTCTGCAGCGAAGAGGCTACAGGTGATAAAAAAGGGCGTAGGAGTCACATTCCAACAGGGATCGTGCTGGACGTGGGACCGAAGCAGAGACCCCTACTCAGGACGACCAGGAGCCAGGAGGGAGGGGTAGACAGGGAAATGTTCACGGACTTCATCGGGAGCGTCGGGATGCGCACCGAGTTTTTTTTGCGGATTCGAGGAGATGATTCTGGAAACCGAAGGGAAAATTGTGAACACATATTATCAGAAGTTATACAGGTAGCGCTTGGAGAAGGTGGGGGGATGCAGCGAGACTGGCAATGCAGGATACCTTCCCGAAGTGGAAAACTTGTGACGACCTGGCCGCTTCCTTTTTGAAAGAGAGAGAGAGACCTATATATATGGAGAGAGAGAGAGAGATAACAAAAAAAAGAAAGAAAGAGAGAGAGAGAGAGAGAGAGAGAGAAAGAGAGAGAGGGAGAGAGGGAGAAAAAAGAGAAGGAGAGAGGGGGATAGAGAGAGAGAGAGAGAGAAAGAGAACGACTCGAACCTGGGAAGGAGGCGAGAGATGAGGGAGAACGGGCATGGTCGAGGCCTGGTCACAGCAGGAATGCGAAGGTATCTATGAAGACTTGGCAGGAACAGCGGCAGTCCTAAGACATCGGAGAAGAGACGGGCAATACGGAAAGAGCGAAGCTGGTCTGATCAATATGGCAAGCGCTCGAAGCCAGCAGCCACGGCGAAGTGCACCGACTCAGGACTGAATGCCGAGGGAGCAGCAGGGGGGCCGAAGAACAGATGATTTTAGTCTCCGCGGACCTGGTGGGAAGGCGACGGGCGGCAGGCCGAGCTGGCAGAGCGCCCGCGCGAGGGAGGGCCGGCAGCAGAGGGCGTCTGCCTGGAGCAGTATGCAGAGGGCAGCGGACCGCGGGCCGAGGACAGGCCTCGGCTGCCAGAGGACGCGTGCATCACAGCAGCGAATGCTGGGGACAAGCATCGCAGGCCTAGAGGTTGACACCAACACCAAGATCGGCGGTGTGCCTCCACCGAGGGCGGACGATCCCAATCCCGGTGATGGTGGTCATATTTTGGTTTCCAAGGTGACCGAAATATCACCACCAACACCGAAATCTAGGATCAGTTTCCCCATGTGGAGGCAACCTCTTGTGCTGGTGTTGGTGCCAATTTCCAGGCCTCCAAAAGCCAGAACGTGCTGTGGCAAATCTGCGGGGAGGAGGGCCTGCCCGTAGTGGGGGGCGCCTGTAGAAGCACTCGGGACGACTCTTTGCCCGGCGGTGCTCGCAGAGTACCCTGAAGCGCTGAGTTGGAAGATCGAGGATGTGGAGATCAGGTCAGCAGAAAAGACGGAGTAGCGAAGAGGAGACATCCCACGGCGGTTCGGCCCTCCGATATATCAGAGGAGCGGATCTTCTGCAACTGGCGGGATGGGCAGGCGGCAAAAGAGGGGAGGGCAACGACGGGGGAGCACCAGCGGCTTGCGATGTATCGCCGTGCCACGTGGCGATATGCAGATGCGAGACGCAGAGAACCCGTTTGCCGTTCAATCTGGACTCGGCAACGTCCTCACACTGCGCAGGAACGCAGAATTGGCCAGGGGGCTCAAGGGCAGGCGGCTGCTCGACTCGTGAAGGACCTCCCGCTGGTGGTGCGGCGTCGGCCCGGCCGATGCTTCGAGCATCGGGGGAGGGGACCTCGACCTGTCGAGCAGCCGCACGGCACGCGGCTCGGCTCGCATCGTGGTGGGGCCACGGCGGCTGCGCGCGAGGCTCGGACACAAGAGGCGCCGCCCATGCGATGCCAGGCCGGCCGGGGCTGCTGCTCATCCCGACCCCGGCGCGGGCCTCGGGGCACCGCGCGGCGAGCACGGGGGCCCGCGGTCGGGCGCCTCCCAGGCAGCGCTGCGCACTGGCACTCTGGGCACGCTGGCGGCGCGGCAGCGGCAAGTGGCGGCCGACGACGCCCTTGATGGCGATGATCTCCTGCGAGCTCGCGCTCCAGGCGCCTACTTGGCGGACGCGCTCGAGGAGGGCTTGGTGCAGGTCGATGCGCGGGCCCGCGCTCGGCGGCGATGTCCGCCCAGTCGGTGCCCTTCTTGCCGTCGTGAGGAGGTCGGAAGGGCCCGCCGTGGGCGGAGAGCACGTGCGACAGCTGAACCCACGGGTCGCGATTCTGCCGACGAGGGTGCTCGCACCGGGCCCGTCCGTTCCTGATCCCATCGGCTACCGTCATGCAGTCAGTGGACACGTGCAGCTGCAAGAGGCCGCTCTGCAGGGTCATCAGCACCGCAAGGAGCTCAGCACGGGGGACGGACTGCTGCCAGCCTGGGCTCGCCCCGGACGCGCGTGTACAATGGAGGAGTTGGTGGATGAGAAGAAGGATGAGGAGGGGGAAGATGGGGGACGAGGAAGGATAGTGACGTGGAGGATCAGCAGCAGCAGGATCAGGAGGAGGAGGCCCAGGGGAAGGCGGGGAAGGAGAAGGGAGGGGGGCGACAACGCAGAGGAAACTCGGATCGAGAAGTGTTGCTCTTGCTGGGGCGAGAACGCCATTCTGAATGGCGGGCTAAGCGCCGATCCCGACATGAGGCCAACGCTTCAGCGGGAACACCAGGTTGGAAAACCGAGATCTTTCGGATTACAAGAACCGGGAGAAAACCAAATACTGGAATCCTGTGTGTAAGGAACAGGACAAGGAGAGGGCAGGACACTTCTTGGACGTAGTCGTGGGAAAGAGAGGACCGTAGTGCTTATCTTGAGTAATGCTGGTAGCGGACGGAGGCGGGGAGGATGGAGCCTGCCTGGGAGGAGAGGAGCGCGGGGGATGCTTGCCAGTCAGGAAATTGCGATCGATCAGCTCGATGTTCTTCCCACCAGTGTTGTGGTAATAGAGCCTCGTCCGTTGTGGCGCCGTCGGACCTGCCAGTTCAGACTTCCGAGCACTTGTGCCGAACGAGGGGGGCCTTCCTGGAGAATAGCCGAAAGGGCCGCGGAGAGGAGGAGGGGAGAAGCAACCGCAATGACATGATGGCAGTGTAGGAGGATAGCAGGCTCACCTGCTACATTTCAAGACCTTTATGCCCGATGATTATTATTAGGATGATGGTGATGATGATGATGATGATGATGATGATGATGATGGAGGTGGTGATGATGGTGATTATGACTATGATTCTGATGATGGTGACGATGATGATGCTGATGATATGAGGATGATCTGATGACGATGATGATGATGATGGTGATGGTGATGGTGATGATGATGCTGCTGATTGTGTTGATGATGGTGATGATGGTGATGATGGTGGTGGTGGTGATGATGACGATAGTGATTAGGGCGAGGTTGTTCATGCTGACGATGGTGATGATGTTGGTGATGTTGATGCTGATGATGAGGATGATGATGATGGTGATGGTGACGGTGATGATGATGCTGCTGATGATGGTGATGATGCTTCTGCTGGTGATTACCCTGGTGGTGATGATGATGTTTGTTAACACGACGATGACGACGATGACGACGATGACGATGATGACGATGCTGATGATGATGATGGTGGTGATGATGACTATGATGATGAAGATAGTGGTGATGATGATGAGGGCAGCGATGACGACGACGAGGCTATGATGATGATGGTGATGAAATTAAGCAGATGATGATGACGATGGTGGTTGTGGTGGTGATGACGATGATGACGACGACGACGTCGACGAAGACACAGTGGACGAGGACGACGAGGATGATACTACTGATGATAAGGGTGGTTGCAACGATGAGGATGAGTCTCTTATGATGATGGTGATGGAGATGGTGATGGTGATGATGGTGATGGTTATGCTGGTGGTGGTGATGATGATGACGGTACTGATTATGGCTATTCTGCTCATGATTATGCTGGTGCCCATGACGATGTTGTTGATGATGATGCTCATCATCATGGTGATGGTGACGGTGATGCTGGTGCTGCTGATGATGTTGCTGTTGATCACGATGATGCTTCTGCTGGTGATTATGCTGGTGATGATGATGCTTTTTACAATCACGATGGCGATGATGACGATGATGACGACGTTGACGATGCTGAACATGATGATGACGCTTAGGATTAAGATGATGATGGTGATGACGATTATTATGATGGCGACCACGATGACGACGAGGCTATGATGCTGATGACAATGATGATGACAATGATAATGAAGATGATAATGCCGATGGTGTTGGTGGCCGTGATGACGATGATGACGACGACCACGAAGAAACCGTGGACGAGGATGACCAGGGTCGTTGTAATGATGATGCTGATGATGATGCTGATGATGAGGATGATGATATGATGATATGATGATGATGATGATGATGATGATGATGATGATGATGATGCTGATGATGATGATGATGATGATGGTGATGGTGATGGTGATGGTGATGGTGATGGTGATGGTGATGGTGATGCTGTTGCTGCTGCTGCTGCTGATGATGATGATGATGATGCGGCTCATGATGATACTGATGATGATGCTGCTGTTGATGATGATGATGAGGATGATGATGATGATGATGATGATGATGGTGTTGATTGTGATAGTGAGGGTGATCTTGGTGATGCTGATGCTGATGATGGTGGTGACAGCGATAGCGATGGTTGTGAAGATGATGGTGAGGGTGATGATGAGGGTGATGGTGATGATGACGACGACAACGATGATGATGATGATGATGATGATGATGATGATGATGATGATGATGATGATGGTGATGATGATGACGATGACGACGACGATGACGATGATGATAATGATGATGCTGCTGCTGATGATGATGATGATGATGCTGATGATGATGATGATGATGATGATGATGATGATGATGATGATGATGATGATGATGATGATGGTGGTGGTGGTGGTGATGGTGGTGTTGATGATGACTTGGTGGTGGAGGATTCAGGGGAGGAGGAGGAGGAGGAGGAGGAGCAGAAGCATGAGGAGAACGGGAGGCCTCGCTCCCGACCGCCACGCTCGCGCCCACCGTCACGTATGCCGCGGCGCCGACGATGACCTACACGGCGGGGCGCCCTTGGCTCGCGGCCGGGTTTCGACCCCAGAAGCAGATGGATTGATCCATTTCACGAACGAACAACACACACCCATACCCATAGGGGGGTCGTTGGGAGGAGGACTGGCTATGGGCATGGGTGCGGGTTGTCGGACCCTTGGGAACGCTCCCGTTCGAGCGGGTCAATGCAAACGGGGGTCAGCCAGGGCGCCAGATCCTGCAGGATCCTGCGAAGACCCCTTCTGGCTGACCCGGGTCAGCGAGCCGCTCGTGGCCGCGAGGCGGCCGCGCCTATTGGCTGACCCGGGTTTGCGAAGATCTGCGTTGCATTTTTTTTTTTTCCTGCACTGCAGTTTTTGGTCTCCTGCTGACCCGGGTCTGGATTGACCCGGGTCAGAAGATCCCCGAAGATGGACTGATCCACCGTTCCCGCGGAAGGACAGAACGAGGCCACGCCCACATTTCGGGCGTGGCCAAAGGTGACCCGTGCCCCAGGTGCCCCCAGCTTTGCGGTCCTGGGCATCGTGAGGGAGGCTCTGGTGAATCCGCTGCGAACTCATAACACGAAGCGGCTCTGAGGCGAGAGCCACAGTTTGAAGTGGACCCCCTCCATCCGTGAAACTGTTGCGAACTTCAATACGAATACGCGCGGCGCTTAGGCGAGAGCCATATTGTGAAAATGCACCCCTCCATCCGTGAAACTGTTCCAAGCTTTTAGAACGAATGTGAACCTCGTTAAGGGGAAAACCACATTTTGAGAACTACCCACCCTCCAACGGTGAAATTGCTACAATATTTTAAGGCCAAGATGCGCGGCGCCAGCCAAGGCGAGAGTTACATTTTGAAAGCGCCCCCCCACCATCCGTGAAACTGTTGTGAACTTCTAAAGCGAATGCGCGCGGCGTTGAGTCGCGAGCCTCTTTGTGAAAGCGCCCCCCGTCCATCTGTGAAACTGTTTTAAGCTTTTAAAGCGAATGCGCGCGGCCTTGTAGGGAGAGCCACATTTTGAAAACGACCTCCCCTCCATCTGTGACTTTAGATGAATGTGCGCGGTGCTAAGGCGAGAGCCACATGTTGACCCCCCCTCCAACGGTGAGCCTGTTGCAAACTTTAGGCGAATGTGCGTGGGTCTAAGGCGAGAGTCACATATTGAAAATGCCTCTCCCCCCTCCATCTGTGCCCCCCCCCAATAAGTGCAACTGCTGCGAACTTTTAAGACGACTGTTCGCGGCGTTGAGGCGAGATCCACATTTTGAACACGACCCTCCCTCTATCTGTGAAACTGCTGCACATTCCAAGCTTCAGGATCATTCATGCTGAGGCAGTCTCAGGCGAAACGGCCAGCACGCCCTACCGACGCGTCTGGGGGTGGCAGGAGCATGTCTACTTCAGATGTGAGGGGGGCGTGACATACCCAGACCTCCGACTTCGCGATTGTTTCAATGTGGGTGCCTTAATGGCCTTCGGCCCATCCCGCCACCGTGCCTGTGTTGCGGGTCATAGGTCTTACAGATGTTCGTTGGGATGTCGCGGGAGGCCTGTCGGGGGCCTTCTGGGGGCCGTCTTGAAGCCTCTTTGGGGCCGTTTTCGTGCCTCTTGGGGCGTCATCGGGACTTCTTAGGGCCTCTTTTGGGACGCTTGGAGATTTCTAAGAACTATCACATTTTTATATCGCGCTCCCCCTCTCGGGCCCTTCTTGGGTCTGTCTTTTGGCCCTCTTGGGCCGTCTTGGGCGCCTCTGGGGCCGTCTTGGAGCCCTCTTCGGCCGTGTGGGGGTCCTCCTGGGGGCCTCTTGGACGGTTCTGGGAGCAACTTGGGCCGTCGTGGACCGTCGGGAGCTCGAAAAGTCGAGAACCCAAAAGCCATTGAACATCGAATGGGAAATCAATGATTTTGGCCTCTCGGGGCAGGCTCTTGGGGCTCTTTTTGGGGCGTCTCGGAGGCCTCTTGGGCCGTGTTGGGGTCATCTTGGGTGTCTTGGGGCGATTTTGAGGCGTCTCGGGTCCCTCTCGGGGCCCTCTTGGCCCGTCTTGGGGTCCTCTTGGGTGTGGGAAAAACGCGCGATGAGATGCGCCGGGGCCCAGAGCGCACGCGCCAAGCCCCAGTAGATTTGGCGATTTGGGCTCCGGGCCTCTAAAGACTTCTCAGGAGTGAGGATTAAGGTTAGAGGAGTAGAAACAGGACCTGTGGACACGCCCACTCAGTGCCCAGAGGCACGGTGGCGGATGCTGGCTAGCAGGAGCACTTTTCGGGCGCTGGGTTTATCAAACACTGTTCCAGGACTGAGAACTATCCCCTGGGAACGGGTCGAGACTTCTGGATCCCAGGAGGGCTTTCCAACGGCCCCAGGGAGGCCCAAAAGACGCCCCGGAGGGCCCCAGGAGCGCCCAAGAGCGCCCAGGAGCGCCCAAGAGCGCCCCAAGAAGACCCCAAGAGACCCCCAAGGGCGCTCTAGTAGGCACCCAGACAGCTCACAAGAACCCCAAGACGGCCCAAGACAGGCCAAGAAGGACCCAAGAGACTCCCGGGAGCGCCCCAGGAGGCCTCCAAACGGCCCAAGAAATCCCCAAGTCGGCCCAAGATGGCTCCGAGTCGGCCTAGGAAAGCTCCCACGAAATCCCACGACGGCCCAGACAGCCCAAGAAGACCCCAGAAACCCACAAGAGGACCCAAGAGGCCCCCAAGAAGTCGCCAACAGGCCCCAAGACAACCCCGCGCGGCGCCAGGAGCGACGTCCTTCTCCGATTGCCTCTTACTGCTCTCTGTCGTCGTCGTCGTCGTCGTCGTCGTCGTCGTCGTCGTCGTCGTTATCGCCCTCTGCGTTCCTCCTCGTACTCGCCCTCGTTCTCTTCATTCTCGTCCTCGTGCTTATCTTCCTCCTCGTTGTCCTCATCTCCCCCTCGCTATATTCACGTTCGCCACGTCGTCCTCATCATCGACTCCTCGTTTCCCTCGCCTTCCTATTCTTCTTCGCCCAATACGCCCATTAGGCTAAAACGGTGATTCCCGTTCATGTCCCATCAGGTTATCCCCTGGGAAGGGGTCGAGAATTCTGGATCCCGCGGATTGAACAAGTCACACCTTCGGTTGTCTGGGTCGATATAGGGGGGGTGCGCGAAAGATGTAGTTCGCGGGTATCGTGCCTTCCGTATGTATTTCGCGGTGTCGTGGTGCACATCTATATATATATATATACACCATTGTAAAACGGTACAGTGGACCTACGCAGAGGTATTGCGAAGACCCTGCGTTCAGTACCGCCGACCCTGAAGGTGGGACCCTGGGGAGGGGAGCGGTACTCTGACCCGGCCCCCCCCCCCTTGGGGCCCGCCGGGAGCCTGGAGGGGGTGGTATTCTGACCCTGAACCCTCCTCCACCCCCGCCCTCCGCCCCCTCCCCCCTCCGGCAGGGAAGGGATCATTATAGGGAACGGAATTTGTCATGTGCGACGTTCTTTTTCCTTGTGTTTCAATTTTCTTGGGACTGACGACGACGACCACGATGACGATGACGACGACGACGACGACGACGACGACGACGACGACGACGACGACGACGACGACGACGACGACGACGACGACGACGACGACGACGACGACGACCACGACGACCACGACGACCACGACGACCACGACGACGGCTGAAACGGAAAAGCGTCTCACACATTCCGAATGCTGAACGTCGCGTTGGCCAGATTAATTCTGCAAGAGCCAGAGTCTCTTGTCGCCTAAATTATATTGTCTGCCGAGCAGATTCTTTGGTTTCGCAACACCCGATGATTTGGTAACTCATGTTGGAAGCTATTGTGGCAGAGGGGCAGACGTATGCTGTACGTAACACCCCGTAATTGCGGATAAGAGTGAGGGGGCTGGCGCGGGCGACGCGGGCGTCGAGCTGGCGGACCTCGTGGCCCTCACCTTCCCTGTCGATGGCGCCCTCCTCCTCCTGCTCCTGCTCCTCCTCCTCCTCCTCCTCCTCCTCCACCTCCTCCTCTTCCTTCCGTAGCCATTTTGGCTCAAGATGCAGTTTCCCCCTGGGAGACAAACGGATACCGCTAGTCCGCGGCAGTGCCAGAGCGCTTGCCCTCGACGTCCCTCGCATCCAGTGCCCCACCGTCCTTCCAGAGTCCTGCTTCCCAGGTGTCCGATGGCAGTCGCAGCGCTTCGCCTGCTCGCTCTATCTGTCGCAGCGACAACAGTGCAGTGGACGCGGAGCGGCGTGGCCGCTTCCGCCCCAAGGCGGGGGAGCCTCAACGCTCGGGAAGACCTAAGCGTTCCAGTGGCTGGGATGCTCGTCTTGAAGCAGATCGTCGTCCGCCTGCTCCTGCTTCTCATCGTGGGTTGGACCCTGGCGCCCCTGCTACCTGGATGGCGGCTCCTGCTGGGGGCCAGTCCCTTTCCGACAACCAGCAGGCCAGCATCCTGCAGGCAGAGGCCCTCTTCCCCACCCTCCCAGATGGAGTTGATGGCAGCCCTCCCGGCCCTTGGGCACAAGCTGCTGCTAGGCTTCTTCCTCGTGGCGATGCCCATGCTCGCGCTGAACAACCTGATCGTGCTGAACCTCAGGTGTACCACGTTGACGCGGACGACGACGTGGGTGACTCTCCCGACTTCAACATCCACTATTATCGTGCTGACATCGAAGCACGTTTCGCCTCCCCGCGCGGCAGCTTCGATGACATGGTCAAGGCTGCGGTCACTTCGTCCCTGCAGGCCGCCAGTGACCCGATCTTCAAGACCTTGGATGTGCTGCGCCGGCAGGTTTCGGGGCACGTCCAGGAGATCATGTCCGCGATTCGCCCCCAGCTCGACCAGTTCGCCAGGATATTCCATATGCAGCAAGATGCTCTCACCAAACGCGTGTCTGAGTCGGAACATACCCGGGGTGAGCACGAGCGGCAGATCATCGCCATGCAAAGAAATTCCAGACATCCGCAAGCAAGTTGAGCTCGACAAAGCGTACCCTGCGAAGCCCTTCGTCCCCCCTGGCTTCGATCGTGAGACTGATCCG